ACCCTTCTAGTGTCAGCAGAGTTTCAGATAAGCTCACACACATAAGCAGCAAACTCCTCCTCGGTCACTAATTCAGGGTCCTCAGTGCTGGGTTTGGTGCTGAACGCCCAGCTCTCCTCCTCCACAGCCCTGCCACCCGCCCACGTAAGCCGTAGCCATAGCCCAGAGACACCAGGAAACAGGTTGGCCTCGGCATGAGGAAGGGAGCGGTGGGCAGTGCTTAATGAGTGGCAGGCAGCTTAGCCGTGGGCCGAGGAGGGGCTGGAAGAGGCCTGCAGCTGATCCCAGGAGACCTCTCGGACCCAGGCCTCTTTCCTGTTGGCTTGTTTGGAGCCCAGGTCTTCCTGTGTATACCTGGCTGATTTGGAGCTTATCTGTAGCCCAGACTGGCCTTGAACTTTGAGCAATCCTCCTGCCTCCATCTCCTGCAGGCTGGAATTACAGGCATGTGCCACCACACTTGAGTCTTTAGAGACTATGACTTCCATTTAGTGAATTGCCTCTTCATTCATTGGGATATAGATGAAATCTTATTAAATAAGAAACACAGAGCCAATGCAGAGATGAAAGCCCAAGAGGTCAGAATAATAGCCCTGGTGCTGTGCTAAGCCTCAGGATATTTCTACCAAGGACCTCTAGGCTTAGGAGCTCTAAGTCCCAAAGGCTTCTTGGTTTGGGGAGCAGGAAACCCAGATTATTTGACTCCCTCCTTCCAGCTCTGCCCTTCATTTCTTTCCATGCGCAGGCTGGCTTGCCAGGCCATGAGGCAACTGCACCCAGAAGCCATTGCAGCCATTCAGAGCAAGGCCCTGTTCAGCAAGGCTGAGGAGCAGCTGCTGAGCAAAGTAGGATCGGTAAGGTTGAGGACTTGGACAGGGTACAAGCTGGACCACTTGGAAAACCACCAGCAGGGAGTCTTGCCTGCCCCGTCTGTGGTCTGCACACACATGCAGATGAACACATCTGTAGGGCCTTTGTGATGGGTCTTGGGAGAAACCATGCCTGGCCCCCTGGGTGACCCTTGCTTCTTCCAGTTCCTTTGGAGGGTTTGGGGACAGCAGTGGGGTGGGATGAGAAAACCCTGGCATGAAGAGCCTATTTCTCGTCTCCAGACCAGCCAGCCCACCTTGGAGACCTTCCAGGACTTGTTGCACAGACACCCTGATGCCTTCTACCTGGCGCGTACGGCCAAGTCTCTGCAGGCCCACTGGCAGCTCATGAAGCAGTATTACCTACTCGAGGATCAGACAGGTAACACCCCAGGAGCTGCAGCGTGAGCAGCCAGCTGCTGAGGTGTGAGAGCGTGTGTGAGGTGCTGAGGGCACAGTGTCCTCCTGTGTTAGAGCCACCGGTGCCTGCCAGTGTCCTCTTCACCTCAGCTTGCAGAAAAACAGCAGCACTGAACCTGCTCCTTAGAGAGCTGCAGGGCCTTTGGCATCATGGGAAGGAAGCCAGCTTGCTTGGCCTCCTGGGCCACAAGTCTAAACAGCAGCTATTACTACTTCTTGTTCTAGGGTCTTCTGTCTTTTCTTGACATCTTTTGCCATCACATAAACAAGATGTTAGCGTGTTATTTATAGGTAGCATTAAAACTGGAGCAAGCCGGGCATTGGTGGCGCACGCCTTTAATCCCAGCACTCAGGAGGCAGAGCCAGGCGGATCTCTGTGAGTTCGAGGCCAGCCTGGGCTACCAAGTGAGTTCCAGGAAAGGCGGAAAGCTACACAGAGAAACTCTGTCTCGAAAAACCAAAAAAAAAAAAAAAAAACTGGAGCACACCAGGAGTGTCGTCTCTGCTCACTCTTCCCCGTGTTGGGACCGACAAAAGGACTCCTTTAAAGTTGCCCTGTCAGCATCTGCACCCCGCTCCAGCGCCTTGCACCAGGGAGTCTGTGTTGTCGGGGGGCTTAGGCCGAGGACTCCCCAGGGACTTCATAGCTGGGCCCTCATCTTTCTTCTTCCCCAAGGACTGGAGTGTCTGCTGCCACCCCCTCATCCTCTAACTCCCTTCTCTGGGGTCAAGTGTAGGACAGCCGTCTGGGCAGGCTGCGGGAGGCTGCAGGAGGCTGGTGACCCAGGGGCTGGCAGAGGCACACTCTTCTTGCCCGAATCCACCGCCTGCGGCAGCGTGCACCGCTCCGCCATAGCTCCTCACATGGGAAAGTCAGTCCTTCACTGCATTGGTGCTCCTGCAGCTCTGGTTCCAAACCACAGCCTCCTGCAGGAGGATTGTAGACGGTCCGTCCGTCCGTCCGTCCACTGGCTTTCGTGGGCCCGGGGCCTTGCTGCCTGCCTTGCCCGTCACCGAATCCTCACGGAGAACATTTGCTACGTGACATTCACTTTTATTGTTTTAAACCCAGCTTGTCTTTTGTTTGTCAAGACAGGGTTTCTCTGTGTAGCTCTGGCTGTCCTGGAACTCACTCTGTAGACCAGGCTGGCCTTGAACTCAGAGATCCGCCTACCTCTGCCTCCTGAGTGCTGGGATTAAAGGCGTGCGCCACCACCGCCTGGCAAGATTTTTTTTTTTTTTTTTTGAGTCATGGTTTTCCACAGCCCAGGCTGACCTCCTGCCTCCATCTCCCAAGAACTGGGATTCTGGGTTTGTGCCACCAGACCCTGCTTCTTCTGTTGTCGTTTTGGAAATGGTTCTATTCACTGAAAGCTTATCTTAAGGTTATATAATTTTTTCCTCCAAGAGACTCTGTGTGGGAACTTGTTTCTCGTTGCTTAGAGCCGGGTGTCCCTAGGATCAGCCGCTTTCCTTAGCCGCAGGTTAGTCACACGTCTCGTCATGGGTTTCAGACTTCATGAGTGAGCCTGCCATGTCCCACAAGCCCATGCAGGTCAGCTATGGTTCCCTCGTCTTGAACCACCTCTGTCCCAAGTTAGGTGGCAGGGTGCCTGTGTCAAGTCAGAGCCCCCGACCTGGGACCGTTCCCTCTGGCTCTGGCTCCAGAAGGCTCTGTCTGTCCTGGCCCCTGGCTCTCAGCTCCCCCGGCTGTCGTGGGCCGCCGGGGGACCAGGAGTCCACATTCACACTCCTCTGTTGTTCGTTCAGTGCAGCCGCTGCCTAAGGGGGACCAAGTGCTAAACTTCTCTGACGCAGAGGACCTGATTGACGACAGTAAGCTCAAGTGAGTGCCTGGAGAGGGGTGGCTCCACTTTGACGGGCACACCGGGCTGCCCAGCAGACACAGCTTCAGTTGCAGCTGCTGGGCCCAGCCACCCTGCTGCACCCTCTCCTCTGGGGGCCGCTTCAGCTCACTGCCTTCCCCTTTCCCTACCCCAGTCCCAGGGCTAGGCCAGTGCGTAAACAACTCCTGAGCCCCTTGGCTGAAGGGCCTGGGGAGCCCTAGTGGGCCGGGCCCAGGGCCTGATAGTGGGCCTGATTCATCCTTTTCACCACTCAGGGACATGCGAGATGAAGTCCTGGAGCATGGTAAGTCTGCCCTGCTGGGGACAGTGGGATTGGGCGCTCTTGTGAACTGGAGGGACCAGTTGAAGGGGCTGGTGACGTCACTGTCTCTTCACCTCCCCTCAGAGCTGACGGTGGCTGACCGGCGCCAGAAACGGGAGATCCGGCAGCTGGAGCAGGAGCTGCATAAGTGGCAGGTGCTAGTGGACAGCATCACAGGTGAGGAGCCTGGGCCCCGGGAGGTGGCTCCTCCTTGGCATCCTCTGTCCCGGTGAGCCCTCTTCTTGCCTATCTGGGCATGCCGTTTGCTAAGCCCATTCCCTGTCTCCCCCGCCCCAGCTCAGGGCTGGGATTTTCTGCTTTGCTGACCCTGCTCTCCTCTCAGGCATGAGCTCTCCAGACTTCGACAGCCAGACTCTGGCAGTGTTGCGGGGCCGCATGGTGCGCTACCTGATGCGCTCTCGTGAGGTAAGACACCCTGCTGCCTAGGCTCCCTCCTCGGTTGTCCCTTCTCTGCCCAGTCCTTGTTTTCTCATCTCCCTGGCCTGTGTGGGGCTCCTGCCCTCCTTCCCTATGCCAGCCCTCACCTCCACCATTTTCCCAGATCACGCTGGGCAGAGCAACCAAGGACAACCAGATCGACGTGGACCTGTCTCTAGAAGGTCCAGCCTGGAAGATCTCCCGAAAGCAAGGTATACACCCTCCTGCCACTCCAGCAGAGAACAGTGGGGGACATCCAGCCTCTCACTGGCCTTTCCAGCCCTGGGCCGTGTGGTGTGCCTAGAGCACCCTCATGGACTAGTGAGGCAGGCTCACGGAGTTGGTGCTTTGAGAGCTCTACCCAGGGGTCTCAAACGCCTTGAGTCCTCATCCCAGGAGGCGGAGGGGCACTTAGCCCTCTCTTCGGTTGTCTCCATCTTGTCGTTCCTTTCCCTTTCTGTCTCTATAGGTGTCATCAAGCTGAAAAACAATGGTGACTTCTTCATTGCCAATGAGGGCCGGCGGCCCATCTATATTGATGGCCGGCCTGTGCTGTGTGGCTCCAAGTGGCGGCTTAGCAACAACTCTGTGGTGGAGGTGAGTTGGGGATGGAGAACGCCAGGGTGTGTCGCCTGGTGCGTGATAAACTAGTCCATGGATGTCCTTTGCCACCTCTGCACTGAGCTGTCCTTCTCTCCTGCCCAGATCGCCAGCCTGCGATTCGTCTTCCTCATCAACCAGGACCTCATCGCCCTCATCCGGGCTGAGGCTGCCAAAATCACACCACAGTGATTTTGCCCGGGTAGCAGAAACCAGGGCATTCTCTGGCCTCAGTTTCCCCTGTCATTCCAGCTCCCTTGAGCTGGGAACTCAGGCTCCTGGAGAACCCTTCCACCCAGAGGGGGTGGTGGAGGCCCAACTGCTGGCCCATTGATTTGAGCCTTTGAGGCAAGGTGGGATCACCATGGGGAGCCAGGAGAGGCTGGGACCCCTGTGCCTCCCCAGAGCCAGAGCCCCACCATTGCCACATCACTCCTGTGTCTCCTTGGATCAGCTTTAGACTCCTCCTTTTTGGTTTTCTTTTTGTAAATAAAAAGCACCACGTTCCAAAGTAGTTTCTTTTATTTTTTATGTTTTTTAATATAAAAAACATGAGGACAGGTGGAGACAGGCACATGCAAGGAATGGCAGACCCCTCCTTGTCCTCAGGCCTCTGCCCCCATCTGGTGGAGGGGAACAAGCAGGTCAGTGGAGCAGAACCTGTGGACCCCTCCCTCGTCTGGGGCCTGCCTGAGGCTCCAGCTCACCCTCAGGCTGGGCTAAGCTTCCCCACTTCTCGGGCTCCCTGCCCTGAGCCAGCGGGCAGTGTGCAGCTGTGAGGCGAGGCGGAGCCCAGGTTGGGGGGTGAGTGCAGTCTCGATCTCCACAGCACTCAGACCCCTGTGCCTTCTTCCTGGCTCCACTGGACTGTGCCGGGACCGTGGCAGCCAATGAGCACCATCTCTAGGCTGTGGGGATCCCAGGGCAGGGCCCGGCTTCCTGACCCCGGAGGGGGCTCTCCAGTACTGGTAGCCTCAGCCTGGCTCACAGGTGCTGGGGTCCCAGTCCTAGCCGCTTCCTCAGAAGGAGGGGGTGATGCTGGGGTGCTCGGCTCAGAGCAGAGGTCTCCAGAGCCAGGGGGCTCCGAGTCTGAGGTGGAGGTCCATAAAGCTGTGGCGCGAGGCCAAGGGGAGCTCTGAGATGCAGGGGGGCCCCATGGCCAGGGTGCCATGAGGGGAGGAGGGTGCCCTGGGCGAGGGTGCGGCCAGGTCCCACTCAAGACAGAACCTGCGGGGGGCTGCAGGCAGTAGGAGGGTGCCCCGGTGTCCACACGCAGGGGCTGGAGGAGCCCAGAGGCAGTGGCCGGGCACGGCCCCTCTCCTGATGCCCCGGGACACTGGCCTTCCCCTTGGGGCGCCAAGATGAGGTGCACGGCCTGGCGGAGTGACTGCAGCCCCTCCCGCATCTGCAGCACCTGTTCAGACAGCTCCACCACCTTCGGGGGAGAGGTCACAAGGTCAGTTGGGCAGCCATCTCAGCGGGGCCTGCCCTTCCCTCCCGGCTCCCATCTCCCCACCCACCGCCTGCCGCAGCTTGTCCAGCGTGTCCGCGCTCCTTGTCTCACTGGGCCCCGAGGGGACGGTGAGCAGGCCACTCTCTGTGGAGAGGATGGGGTTATCAGCCAGAGCTGCTAAAAGATGGACGGACGGTGTAGGATCCAGGCCTGGCCTCTGAGAACACTGACCTGGCTCACCCAGCTCCCTTCTGGCCTTGGTCGAGTTGTCCAGTTTTGCCTAAATTTTCAGCAGCATGAAAACCCTCCCAGCAGCCCTGCATAACACTGCCCAGCGCTCACCTCCCTGCCGGAAACTGTCCCTGTGTGGGACAGGGTGAAATAGAGTCTCGGAGCTCTCAGATCTACGAAGCCAAGGCTGGTCCTGAGCTCCGTCTGCCTCTACCTCCCTAGTGCTGGCATTATGGGCATACACCACTATGTCTAGCTGGAAGTTGTTCTTTGCATCTGTCTCTCATTCTGTCAGAGGATGTGCTGTCCCTCTGTCCACTTCCCAGGCTGCCTGTCTTACCCAGCCAGCTTCAACCCTGTCTTTTCCAGCCCTCTCTCCTCCCAATCAGGCAGACACGTGCTAAGGGCGTCGGGAACATTCTCTAATTAACATGCACGACAACCCATTTTACAGACAGGAAGCAGGACCCAGACGCCGGCCGAGTTTATACTGTTAGAAGGCTGGCAGGGCAGGCATCCAAGTCATGCATCACAGTCACCACCAGCCCAGCCCGTGAGGGCATCCAGGCAGGCTGCCCCTGCCAGTTCCTCTAACACCAGGCTCAGACACCACAGTGCTTGACATCTGTGAGGAAAACGGGGTGTCCACCAACACTCTCTGTCCCCCAGCCCAGTACCTTGTCCCGGAGAGGGGCTGCTGCTACATTCTGGGCCAGACTGACCCACTCGGAAAGAGAACTTGTGCTGGTCAGAGCCACAGCCATCCTCAATGCCATCTACGACCCTATGGACCCAACAAACCAACAAATCAGACGATGGGCAGCCACCGTGGTGTCAGGATGGGATGTTCAGTGTTCACCAGCTGCAGAAGCTCGGGACTAGCTGGGGGACCTGGACACCCTGAGAAGCTAGCACACGGTCCCCTTTCCTAGGAGCTTGCATTTTAGCTGAAGAGTAAACTGGAATAACAAAACAGCAAGAGTTCAGGGTAAGCCACCCCCTAGTGGGTAGTGGCTCGGCAGAAATCAGGGAAGGCTTCTCGGAGGAGATGGGCTTGGCCCCTGAAGGCTGGGTGGATGAAGATGGAAGGATGGGCGCTGGAGGGATGCCCCTGAAGTTAAAAGCCTGTTCTGTTCATGCAGAGAACTCACATACAACAGCTCACAGGACCACCTGGGGCCCAATGCCCTCTGCTGGCCTCTGTGGGTACCTGCACTCAAGTGCACAGTCCCCTGCCTCCCCCCATTAAAAATAAAATCTTTTTTTAATATGAAAATATGAAGCCAGGCATGGTGGACATATGTAGTCCCAGCACTCAGGAGACAGAGGCAGGAGGGTCTCACAGTGGAGGACAACCTGGGTTACGCAGTCTCAAAATTAAAAATGGCCGACACCCAGGACGGGGTGCCTAGCTGTGCCTCTGTCCTGCCGTGAAGTTCAGGGCCCGCTCACCTGGGGCTCAGGTCTGGGGGTACATTCCATGGCATGGGGGGCAGCCGCAGCCCATCGAGGGTCCGTGGGTGAGCAGAGGGGCCAGCCTCGGGCTTCAGAACCCCTGCCCTGCTTGGCCGCCCTCTGCCACCTAGACGTGGTCTGGGTGCAGTTCGACGTGGGGACAGTAGTTTGGCAGCTGAGGAGGAGGAGGTGCAGCCAGGGGACAGCAGGGGACTGGAGGGCTCATCCGCTGGGGCTGGTGAGACTGTGTGTCCCTGCTCCCCATCCGTCTCCTTCTCCTCCAGGGTGGACATCAGAGTGTTGTCACCGCTCAAGGAGCTGGTATCCACCTGGGGACAGAGGGGACAGGGATTCAACATGGATGGCCCAGTGTCTCACCACCTACCGAGGCCCAGGAAAGAACCCAGGCAGAGGAAAATGGCCAGGCGGAAGTAACCAGCTGCACTGTGCCATGACGAAATCACCAAGCCATGGAGAGAATCACCCCCAAACTCCACCCATATGTGGATATAATGCCTGTCTACGTGGTCCTTCCGACTAACAGGACTCTACAGTGCGTGCTAGTGATAATCTGAGGCCTCTGTGGTGGTTCAAGCGAGAGATGCCCCAACAGTCTCAGGCATCTGAACAGCTGGTCTCCCTCTGGCTGATGGCACTTTGGGTGAGGTTTAGGAGGTGTGGCTTTGATGGGTGAAAGTAGGTGGGCTTTGAGAGGAAAAAGGAAAGTCTCGACACCTTCCACTTCACTCTCTCCACTTCCTGTCTGGAGTGAAGATGTGAGCTTCCTGCTCCTCCGCCACGCTTGCTGCGTGGTCCCTCTGGAACCGTGAGCCCAGACAAGCCCTCCTTCCTTCTGTAAGTTGCCCTGGTCATGTTTTGTCAACAGGAAAGTAACTAATACACCCTTGGGACATGCTATTTAAGGAGAAGGGGCAAGGGCCTCCACAGGGCCCTATCCAGCAGTGGGCTCCAGGGCCGATGCCAGTCTCTGACCACCCTCCATCTGCAGCTTACAGGGTTCTGCAGCGTAGTGGCCACACGTGGTTCCCCTCACAGTGGGCTTTGTTCTGGTCAGAGCCCAGTATGTCAGGTAGGACAAAGCTGGACTGGCTTGTTTTTGTTTTGTTTTGTTTGTTTTGTTTTTTGAGACAGGGTCTCTTTGTTATGTAGCCCTGGCTGCCCTGGAACTCATTACATAGACTGGGTTGGCCTTGATCTTACAGAGATTCACCTGTCTCTGCCTTCTAAGTGCTGGAATTAAGGAAATGTGCCTGGGCTCGAGAGATGGCTCAGAGGTTAAGAGCACAGGCTGCTCTTCCAGAGGTCCTGAGTTCAATTCCCAGCAACCACATGGTGGCTCACAACCATCTGTAATGGGATCTGATTCCCTCTTCTGGTGTACATGAAGACAGAGTACTCATGTACTTTAAATAAAAAATAAATCTTTAGCTGGGCGGCAGTGGCGCACGCCTTTAATCCCAGCACTCAGAAAGCAGAGCCAGGCGGATCTCTGTGAGTTCAAGGCCAGCCTGGTCTACAGAGCAAGATCCAGGACAGGCACCAAAGCTACACAGAGAAACCCTGTCTTGAAAATCAATCAATCAATCAATCAATCAATCAATCAATCAATCTTTGAGAGAGAGGTGTGCCACTAAGCTGTGGCTTGGACTGACACAGTGATGTGAAAGGGCTGAGTGTGGATTCCTGCCCTGAGGCGGTGTGTGTGTGTATGTGTGTGTGTATGTGTGAGTGTGAGAGTGTGTGTGTATGTGTGTGTGTGTATGTGTGTGTATGTGTGTGAGTGTGTGTGTGAGTGTGAGAGTGTGTGTGAGTGTGTGTGAGAGTGTGTGTATGTGTGTGTATGTGTGTGTGAGTGTGTGTGTGAGTGTGTGTGTGTGTGTCTTTCACACAAGCCCACACTTCCCTCTTTATTCCCCCAACTTTGTTCACTTCCTCTGCTCCCTGACACCCCAGCCCCTCCACGCACACACCCGGCACCCTCACCTCTGCAGAGACTCCCCCAGCCCCCAGGTTGTAGCTGAGCTCCCCTCGGAGGCCACGGCTAAAGCGTGGGGCAAACTCCGGGTACAGGGCAAGGCTCTCGTGCAGCCCGGCCAGCTGCAGACACTGGAGGACGCAGTACGTCAGCCCCTTCACGTCGGCGTTGGCCTTCACCACCTGCTCCCGCTGGGGCAGCTCACAGCCGATCAGATCACCCTTCCCTGAGGAGAAGCAGCCAAGGTTAGCAAGTCACTAGGGGAGGGGAGACGGGCTGTGGACTGAGCTGATAGAGAGAAGCATGAAAGCCTGGCTGTGGCGTGATCCCCAGTCACTCACACACACACACACACACACACACACACACACACACACACACACACTTGGGTCCAGGCCCTCAAACACTTGAAAGGGCTGAAACCTCTGCATCTAAGTAGGATGTCATCAACTCCTGTGGTTTGCAGACAGGTTGTTAATTAGACTCCCCTGGGGAAATTATAGCAGACTGTCCAGGCCCTGGCCTGACTTGATTTTCACAATCTGGTTTTCTTAACGGCCCACGGGTGGTTTGGATGCGGCTGGTCCATGAACCAGTACCCGTTTAGCGCCCTGCGCGGCATGGTGAAACCGTCAGGTGGCTGGGCTGCCATTGTCCTGGTCTGATCTGCCTGCTTCGCCCCGTGGGGTGGGCAGGGGAGCGCCTTCATCTCACAGGGAAGGGTTTTCCGGTGCTAGGCTCAGAACTACCTGGCTGACAGCAACTATAAAATGACTCTGACTCGTGTCCTGCAGGATGCTGGGTCGGGGAGGGTCTTAGATTCACACCCCAGGTCTGTGGCCCTGGTGGAGAGGGTCGAGTGAGTCGATGTTGGGGAAGCACCGGACAGGACCGACCAGAGGACTCACTTCCTTGATTTCCTCTCTCTTGGTCCCACATGCTCATCCCCCGGGAAAAGGCAGCTCGGCCCCTGTCAGAGCAGCCAGGTGACTAGAAAGAGAGGAAGGGACCAAGAGAGGTGGCTGCCAGTCAGCACCCAGAGAGCCCAGAGGCCTCTAAATGTCCGTGGGGATTTGCTCATACGGGAGTGCAGAATGCACCTCACTTAAGTTTTCTGTTCTTGGCTCAAGGGCCCCTGGATCCTTTGAGAGCCGTGTGGATTACAAAGAGATATTTTAAGGAGGGAGCTGTGTTTTGTGTCACCTGAAATAAGATAGGTGTCATTTTGTCCTCATCAAAGAAGCGACAGAAAATGAGAACAGGACTAAGGACAAAGCCAATGGCAACCAGAGACCTGCCGCTGGCACCTGGGCCACAGCCTCCAGGCTCAGCCCATCCAATTGCCATCCTCTACCAGAGGTCTCGGAGCACTTGGCTGCATCCCAAACAGGTTGGGGCCAGAACCACTGCTGTTGACTCCGGGGCCAGACTCATCTCGCCAGGAGCCAGCTGGATGCACCTGAATACCCAGCTGAAGAGGCAGGTGGGAGGCTGGGGCAAAAGCTGAGCAGAAACCAGGTCACAGCTGGGCACATGTACTCCCAGCTCTCAGAGGCTAAAATAGGAGCCGGCAAGTTCAGGGCCAGACTGGACGGCACAGCCCACACAGAACAAGACGCGAAGTGCTCCAGCAGGATCGGAGCCAGGCACTCATGCGGTCATTCGGAGCGTCCCAGGGACCACCTCGACAATTCTGCTCTCACTAGTCTGTGGCTGTCACACTTCGTCTTTCCACCTTCCTAATTTATCCAGCTCGGTTCCTCAAGGGTTCCCAGCCACACCTGCCCCTCGGTTCCTCAAGGGTTCCCAGCCACACTCGTGTGGTACAACTCTATTTTCCTTATTTATGTATTCTTTTGTTTCCCTTCTGCTTTTTGAAACAGGGTTTCATTTATCCCAGGCAGAGTTCACTATGTAGCTTAGGGTGATCCTCCTGCCTCTACCTCCCAAGCGCTGGGATTACAAGCATGTGTCTCCACACCTGGCCTTAGGTCATGCTGGGGGTTTGAACCCAGGGTCTGTGCTGGCTGGACCAACCCTGCACTCACTAAGCTGCATCACAGGGCTTGCCTGTCTGCCT